AAACAAGGAAAACCAATTTGAGCCAACACCTCGGACTTGGCCAACATTCTAAGCATGATTACAATACAGAAAATATGTTTTAATAATGCCAGCCAGAAGATTTGGCAATCCAATCCGCATGCATTAGCCAAAAAAACCTAGGATTTGGTTTAAGACTACCAACAACGCTGGGCCCCCAATTTTGTGGGCACTTTTTTTAAAAACGCCAACGAGCACGACGATTTTTCCATTAGATACTAGAGCCGAATGCCGAATGCCGAATGCAAAGTGGGCGATTTTTACTGGCGGTTTTGAAATGCCAGCGCGTTTAAAATCGCGCAAAACCTTTTGCATGCGACTCGCTAATGCTTCCAACAAAATGCTATACTCGAACATTTGCATCCATATGCGATTCGTGATCATAAACATTTGTCATGGATGAATAATGCTGAGTGGTGTTTTGAAATGATTTCAAGGTTTAGAGGGCGGTTCAAATGAGAATCGATGGATAATTTATGAGAGGTATCTTAAAATCTAGTTCAACGGAACTAACTAATAATTACTTATATTAAAAACGGACTTAATATTTTAAAAACATTTTTATTACCTCCATTTTTTTATTAAATTTCAATTAAATTTAAATGCCTTCCCCTTTAATAATCTCTCTTTATTTATATAATTATGCGCACTTTAATTGGCACCCCCCAAAATATAATCTAAATAATTTTCTCTATTCAATTTGGCCAGTTTTCAATGCAATTTCCAACAGGTCTCCACACTTGTTGACCCTCCGCTGGGTCTGCGTTGTTTATTTTATGACATTTAAACAATTATTTTTCAACACAAGCAACTGTTGTTGAAATATCATTTGATTTAACCAGCCAGTTGGCCGGGCCCACACCCTCGTGGAAGTGGCCAAAACGAGTCTTGGCCAGATTGCGATTGGAGCTGCTGGTGGTGGCTGCATTTTGCTGGTGTCACAATGTCTGGGACCGCCGAATTCTGTGACGCCGTTGTTGTTCTCGCAAACGCCCCGCAGCTAAACATGAGATGTATATTTTATTTTTCATAATTTAAAGGAAAAAACTACTTGGCCAAAAAACGAGAAAAGAAAAACAGTTTTGATATGAACCTGCTGTTGTTGTTGTGGCCGAAAATCGAATTCTTGAATGAACCATTAATCTTGTTGCCAGCTCGGTGGACTCGGTCATTAAATACAGCCGCTGTAATTGCATTGCAGGCACTGCAAAAAAAATGCTTATATAAACACAAAAAATATTTCTGTATTCAAAAGAGAAGACTTTCATAAAGTACATGTATATGAATTTCATTTAAAGAGAATTGTATTCAATAATAAATATTATGTTTTTATAGTTTATATGGGTCAGTTGATAATATTATTAGACCCTTTCTAATTTTTACGTTCCATTTATTTTGTCTAACTATATGTTTAATGCTACAAAGAAAGCCTTTGGTCAATATGCATAGTAATATTATCTTGAAATAAGATCATTTCTGAATTAGTTTTTTTATAAATCGAATTCAGAAAAGCACCGGTTATTATTTTTCTCAGTGTGAGTCTCGGAGTCTGCCTTGGCGATTTTCTCAGTTTCGGTTTTGCTTTAGTTTTTGCGAGCAAATTAATGCGGGTTTGTCATATTACAATTACTGGCTTTTTCTGGCCCGACTCTGTGGCAGCTGGCATTATTACACCTGCGCCCCAATGCGAGGAGGGGCGGATAGACTCCCCCAGGGGTTCCTATCCTATCCGATCCGGTTCGGTCTTGGACTTTCTGCTCGATATAGTTTCTGGGGATATAGTTACAGTAAGTAGTCAGTCGGTCAATTGGCTCGTTCTGCTCATTTGTTTGCCCCTTTGGGAGCGGCCAAAGTTCAGCCAATCGGTTGACAGTTCATAAGTCTCCAACATGATTTGTTCCTCCTAAAAAATGTTGGAGTGTTCTCACGATTATAATTTGGCAATATATAAATTGGATTCCGAAGTGGGTTGGGTAAATATTTTATGTAGATGGAAGATTTGAAATTACTGAGGTGGTTATTTTAATTTCCAGGCACATATGAAAAAACTGTTAAAAAAAAAACTCTTCAAATCTTTATTATCTATAATGATGTCAAAATGTATCCATTAAAGTTACTTAAAAATTCAATCCTGTCTAAACACATTATGATCGCAACGGACAACGACCTGAGCTCCTTAACAAATTACACTATTTATTGGCATCCTGTTTCCATCTCACTAACTTCGATCATCTCCGTCCAGCGGTGCAAATTTTATGGCGCTTTTTTCACGGTAGCCATGGCAACTCCTCTTTCTCTGTGAGTCCGCCGCGTGGACAAATTGCCGAGCGGGAAAAGTGAAAATCACCTTTTCAGATGTGATTTTTTTTCAATTTTCAAATTTTCCATGGACCCCATGTATGGCAGGCATAATTTGTTAATTATTTTCCAAAGCACAGCTCGTGTGCCGGCTACAACTTAATCAAAGTGATGGGGCCAATTAAAACGCCGCCGCGGGAAGCGATAAGAGATCCCAGACCCCACGACGAACTAGTTTAAAGAAAGCCTTTCCACCACGCGAGTGAAAGAAAGAAAGGAGGGGTTGGGTGGGGTCTTTCACTGGGATTGGATTGGATTTTGTTGGGTTGGGTTCGTCTGAAGCGCATCGAAACAGACCAAAGCGAACCGCAGCTTAATTACGATGAGATAGAGGCGGAACCCAGCCCACGGATCAATAGATCCACATCTCGATGGATACGAGATCAGCGCCACGGAATTCCCCAGATGATCCCGGTAGCTCAGAGATCCCAGATTGAAGCCTGCCGATCAGAGATACGCACATACGGAGACAGTAGATAGTTTATCAAGGAAAGTTACGGCTACACTTATATCGATTTCATATTTGTATGGTATAGAAAAGATTTTATAAAAGTTGTGATTTTTAAACAAGGAAGACGGTTGAAAATTGGGGAACTCTTAGTCCATGATCTATTGAAAATAATATAATACCTTTAAGGTTGAAAGTTTATCTTCTTTTTTTAATTTTTTAAGTTTTCTTACATAATCTAAAACTAATTGTCAGTCCTTTTCCGTGAAAATGCAAAATAGAATAAAGTCTTGTAGAGATAGTTAGGCAGTTGACGGTCTGTGGGCAGACAGGCTCATTCGAGCATCCTCCAGCGGAAGTGGGCGACTCGTGGTCGTGACTGGAAGGCAGAGAACCTGAACCCAGACATCCGCTGGAGGAGGAGAACCAGAGCACTCAGACTTCCGCAGGCGGTACCAACTTGTCAGATCGGTTCTTTAGCCAAATCACAATCATCGAAGGGGCCAAATTGAATAGCTAACCATAATTTCAACAACTCTGTTAAACCCCTAATCGATGATCTAAAAATAAAGATCGATCCTTGAGTTTCTTCGCCTTCAATTAATTTCATAACAGTCCCTTCGATTCTTTTGGCTGGCTCCAAAGTCCAAAGCTCCTCCCTGGGCTCCAACCACCTGCCTGCCTCCACATACATGTGTACATCTCCTGCCTGTCAATTAATGGCCTTTCGACTCCGTCTGGCGGAGCCAACCAATTTCATCTTATTATCCCACACAGAACCCAGAAACTGGTTCTCGGGTTCTGTTTCTGTTTCTGTTACCGATTCTGGCCTGCAAATCACGTTTCTTAGCTTTTCTGTGCCATGTCCAGTCTCTCAGCCTACCCAAAAATAATAACAAAAAGAAAAAGAGTCCGAGGAAAACAAGAGAAGGCGAAAACCAACGCAGACAGAAAATGATTTGCAGTTCATTAAGACGAATCTTCCGATCCGAAGGAGCCAGAGTCAGAGACTAGACGGTGACTAAGACCTCGATCGAGGGGCTTTTGTGGCGCATGTGAATGAAATTGGTTTCGGTTCGAGTCCCGACGGATCGGAGGACAACAGTCTACAAACTGGACAATCACTAGGCTTCATAAGGTGGAGCTGCACTCAGAGAAAAATTTGTAAAATAGTAAGTCCTTGGAAAATTATACGCCATTGAATATATTTCTTAAAGCAAAGTATTATATGATTTTAACAAGCTTTTCCTTTAAATCGGATGGTGGAGATTTAATATTTGCTGGGCTTATTAGCTCGTAAAAGCGTTGTTAACCTGCCATTTCAAAATTTTCACAGTATATTTTAGCACCCTAATTGTTTGCCCTCATATTTGGCTTTCCACACTTATGGGTTGGGAAAACACCATATATGTGTGACAAAGCATACACGAAAGCAAACTTTGTTTTTAGGAGATCAAGGTTAAAACATAATTTCGTCAAGTGCATGATTTGTCCAATGGAAAATTTTCAAAGTGTGTGCCCACCAATCCGGGCTGATCTTGACATGATAATTATGTCTGCACCGGGTGGTAAAGCTGTTCACCCGATAAGCCTGAAAATATTTTAGTTTAGGGCTGCAACTAGGTGGGTTTTTGTGCCTAGAAGCAGCACCACCTCGTTGGCTTTATGAATCTATGGAAGGCTTTCGTCTTGGGATGGCCCACACATGTGACCAATCAAAAGGTAACGCCTTTGCTTTGGGGCCTGCTCAACTTTGACGAAAGCTGTTCAGTTTCTGCACCGAAAGAAAATCAGTAATGTTGGTATTATAATATTGGGAAATTGGCAATATATTTTGTTGTATTGGATTTAACATTTTTGTATATTCCAAGAAATTGTTATTTATAGAAGTCGAATATTATGTGTTCTTAAAATTTCAAACATTTTGAAAGTCCTTTTCATAAATTACGATTTCCAGCCACATTGATTTTGTTTGAAATTTAGTTTATTTTTTAAAATTTGTAACCAATCAGGGTTTACTGAAAATGTGATATAAAAAAAAACGATTTCATGCACAACTCGACTTCTAGTTTATAGTACAATTTTAAGCTTAGAGTAAGTTTAAAATATTTTTCCCTGCATAATAACTTTCATCATTGATAAGTTCCTAACTCTATTGCCACAAATTTCTTTGCAGCAGCACCGCCAGGAGTCGCAGTCGCCGGATTACCACCACCGCTATGCGAGCAATGGCAAACTGCCCCGGGCGGCGGCCTCTACCAATGGCAATTTTTCCACCGGCACCACGCAGACGGTCACCGTGGATGTGCACCACCAGCACCTCGGTGGAGGAGTTGCCTCCACCTCCGTTGCCAAGCAGCTGATGGCCAACGGCAATGGCATAAGTGGACACAGTCGCAGCAGCAGTCTGAGCCACAACATCCATGCGGTGGCCTACAGCGAGTTGAGTGCCGCACCACCGGCCTTTGCCACACCGCCGACGCGGAGGCGGTTCTTCAACCACAAGAATCTGCGCAGCGCCCTCACCGGAGGAAGTGGCGGTGGATCAGGAGGAGGAGGAGGAGGAGGAGGCTTGGCTGGAGGTGTGGGCGGCGGCCATCGACGCACTGCCTCCAATGGGGGTTGTCCCATTGACACGGCATCAATCCTGTCCGGAGGTAAGTTCAGTGTGGGGTTCAAGTGTGGGTCAGGTTCAAGAAATGGCATAGAAAAGAGCCACTGTCTTCAAAAAAAGAAATGGCTTTTAAACACCTATCTAGATGTTTTAAAAATATATTATTTATAGACAATGGTATAGGTATAAAAAGAGTAAAGGCTTATTGCTTAAGAACAAACATCCTCGTAAAGAAAATTCACCCAGCATCCATCATTAGATCATCCTCATCAGCACCATCACCACCATGATAACCAGACGGTGGGCAAGGAGTCCAATGCCCTTAACACATCGACCTGCTCGGATTCGGCGGTCACCAGAAGGCGAAGGAAGAACGTCAGTAACCACAACCTGAAGACCTCCGCTCGCCATGGAGCGAGTAGCGAAAATCGCCTCAACAGACTGAGTTTAGCTGGAACCTCCGTCTACGCAGGTCATCTGTCCTCTCTGGTCTTCGGCAAGATCAAGTCCCTGTGGAGCGTCAACTCCTCCACTTCCAGCGAGGCGGGACTGAATCAACTAGCAGGCATGACTCCGCTCCTTTTCTTTGTGCATCCTCCAGTTTCAGACGTTAGCATGTTACATCTTCATTGTCGTCCATTAACCCAGTTGTCGTCTTGATTCTATAAGCGATTTGCATGTTTTTATATTAGTTGTCAACATTTTACAAGTTATTGTTTTACTTAGAAAAAAGGTTCTCAATACCGTTCCATCGATCTCAAAAGTGACCTAAGATCAATTTAACCTCAAGTTCTTCAAATTGGGATGATCTGTTCTCCAAAACGAAAAGGGAGAATAATTTTGTCCCTTTTTCAATATTAATCAGGGATAAAGGGGATAAAATTATTCTCAAAAACAAAATGCAGAGTACTTTCGTCTGGATTTCAAGAACGTTTCTTCTTGAAAAAGTGAGAAGACGAATTCTTAAATTAAAAAAACTTTTTTTTGTCTTAATTTTTACCGCGGTAATCTATTTAAGTTATTTCATCTAAAAATTCCACAACTTTTAAATTATTTCACTTGAGATGCCTCTAAGATTTTTCCATAAAATGTTTACATTTAAATATTACTATCTTTAAGTCACCTACTTTAATTCTTTAATGTTAAATAACAGATATGTATACAAATTTAACTCACTAAAAATAGTAATGGTTATTTTAATTCGCATGTTAAGCTTACGAAGAATTAAAAATATAATCATTTTTTGTTTTTCCTCTCTCAGGAAGCGACGCCCTTGACCATCACTCCTCATTGCTAAATGAGAAGCTGCAGAAGGACCAGCTCCACGCCCGGCTCGGCCTGCTGCTCAACGATCCCGGAAGCAATGGGAACAGCAGCAGCAGCGGCAGTGGCTGCGAACCCATCTCGGCCCACTCCACCACGAGCACCACCAGCAGCAGCGGAGTGGGAGCGGCCAGCACCACAACGAGCGGCTCCTCGCAGAATGTCAGTCCGGAGCAGACACTGGCCAGCGGAGCCGGAATGCTCAGCGGCAGCCAGCTGTCGGTGGCCACCAGTCACGGGGTCGGTGTCAAGGAGGATTCCCTGAGTTTGTGTGGCAAGTTCAAGGCCGGCTGCTCCATGCTGCACGTGTACGAGGCACTGCCGAGCAAAAGTCGCAAGGGAAACGCTCGGAGAACGACGCGTGGTCAGCAGGCATCCAGTTCCAGTTCATCGGCAGCAGCAGCAGTGGGATCCAGAGTCACTGCCTCCACTTTGGCGGCAGTTCAGTTGGCCCTGAAGCCCTTGTTCTTTGAGGTGCCCCTGCAGGAGCCCGATCCTCCGTATGTGGGTCGCCAGTGGCTGGTGCAGCAGCTGTCCAACATCCTCCTCGGAACTGAGACACGGGTGGTGCTCATCAACGGACAGCCAGGTACGGGAAAGACCGCATTCTGTCTCCAGCTGGTGGAGTACTCCTGTTTCGGCCGCCGGCAGATGCAGGACGATCCCGATGGCATCTACAGCCAGCTGCAGTTGGGCGCCCACTGTGAGCGCATGCGCGGATTGGCCTCCCACATGGTTGGCTACCACTTCTGCCAGGCGGACGCCAATCTCACCTGCCAGGTGCCGGATTTCGTGCACTCCCTGGCCGCACAGCTTTGCCAGGCTCCTCAGTTGACCGCATACAGGGATTACCTGCTGTCGGAGCCGCATCTCCAGGACATTCTCAGTGTGCGCGAGTGCATCGCGGATGCGGAGAGAGTGATGAAGTTGGCCATCCTGGAGCCACTGTCGCAGCTTCACCGGGCGGGCAAGATTCCCGCCAAGGTGGCTGTCATCTTGGTGGATGCCCTGTGCGAAGCGGAGTACCATCGTCCCGATCATGGGCACACCATTGCCAGTTTCTTGGCCCAACTCACACCGCACTTTCCGGCCTGGCTGAAGTTGGTGTCGACCGTGAGGACCCAGATGCTGGAGCTGGTCAAGGCGCCCAGCTATACGCAACTCACCCTGGACAGCTGGGCCAGCAGCCAGACGCTGCAGCAGGATATGCTGGACTACATAGGCGCCCGGCTGGCGGACAGTCCGGAAATCCGCATGAACATCGGCGGAGGAGGAGGCCAGAACTCGCAGGCGGGAAGCCAGCCACAGACAAAGTTCGTGTCCCACCTGCAGTCACTGAGTCGGGGCTCCATGCTGTATGCCAAGCTCATCCTGGATCTCATTGCCCGCGGTCAGTTGGTCATTAAATCCTCCAGCTACAAGGTGCTCCCCGTCTCGCTCGCCCAGATCTTTCTGCTGCACTTCAATCTGCGCTTTCCCACCGCTCGCAGCTTCGATCAGGCTGCTCCGATCCTTAATGTCTGCCTGGCTGCTCTGTACCCGCTGACGCTGGACGAGATTTTCTACAGCATGGAGGCACTGAGCCATGGGCGGGAGGCACTCAGTTGGCCGGACTTTATGCAGCGCTTCAAGCTGCTGGATGGCTTCTTAATAAAGAGGTTGGACAACACATACATGTTCTTTCACAGCTCTCTAAGGGAGTGGCTAATGCGCCGGGATGAGGGCGAGTCCAACAAGTTCCTCTGCGATGCCCGGCTGGGTCATGCGGCCATCGCGTTCAGATTGTCACGCCTGCAGGCTCCACTGTCGCCGCAGCTCACTCTGGAACTGGGCCACCACATGCTCAAAGCCCATTTGTATGGGGGAACAAGTCTGACTCTGCTTTCTCCCAGGGATTTGCAGTCCTATTGGTTGGCTGGAGCGGCGGACAATATATCCTCCTCGCTGGGCGCCCTGCGCAATGTCTACAGTCCGAACTTGAAGGTCTCCCGATTGGTCCTCCTGGCTGGAGCTTCACCAAATCACCGCACGGATTACATGGGAGGAGCTCCGATCCTTTGCATAGCTGCTCACGAGGGCATCCTGCCCATGGTCAGTTTGCTGCTGGAGTTCGGTGCCGATGTGGGTCTGACCAACAGTCAGGGCTGTACTCCTTTGATTCTTGCCGCCATGCGTGGCCATTGCGACGTGGTGCGTCCGTTGGTGGCCGCCGGCAGCAGCCTCGGGCAGCTGGACATCACGCAGCGCTGTGCCCTGGTCCATGCCGCCCGCATGGGTCACCTCAGCGTGGTTAAGTACTTGTTGGCCTGCGACTGGTCGCCACGGCCGCACTCCCAGGATGTCACCAGATCGGTGGCTCTACAGCAGGCACTGATTGGAGCTGCCGCGCAGGCGCACTGCAAGATCCTCGAGGATTTGCTGGACCTCAATGAGAGCGAGTTTGACCTGGATGTGAATGGCATGGAGCCGAGCAGCGGAGAACTGGCACTCACAGCCGCCGCCCGTCATGGATGCGTTGATGTCGTGGGCATCTTGCTCTCCCGCGGTGCCCAGATCGATGCAAGGAATAGGCAGGGATACTCGGCCCTTTGGCTGGCCGTCAAGGAGGGTCACTGGAGCGTGGTGGAGCATCTGCTGCAACGAGGTGCCCTGCTAGACGAACCACTGGGTCAGACGCGCAAGACGCCGCTGATGATCGCGGCGGAGGAGGGACATCTGGAGCTGGTGGAGCTGCTGCTGGCACGGGGATCGGCACGAGAGGCACAGGATCACGAGGGATTTACGGCCCTGAGCTGGGCCTGCTTGCGTGGACACTTGGCGGCGGCCAAGACGCTCATTGAACATGGCTGCAATCGCCACCACGAGGATCACAACGGACGCACTGCTCTGGATCTGGCCGCATATCAGGGAGCCGCCAGTCTTGTGCTCTATATCCTCGACCAGGGTGGCAACCTGGAACACATCGATGTACATGGTATGCGTCCGCTGGATAGGGCCATCGCCTGCCGTAACATCCAGGCGGTGCAGGTGTTTCTGCGCAAGGGCGCCAAACTGGGACCCACCACTTGGAGCATGGCCATGGGCAAGCCGGAGATTCTGGTGGTGCTGCTCAACAAGCTGCTGGAGGACGGTAATGTGCTGTACCGGAAGAATCGCTTCCAGGAGGCGGCCCATCGTTACCAGTATGCCCTGCGCAAGATCTCCGGACTGGAGCAGTTGCTGGAGAGGAATGCCATCTTCGCCCAACTGCGGACCAATCTGCTGCTGAATCTGTCGCGCTGCAAGCGAAAACTAAATGTGAGTACTTGTAAGATAATAATTATTAGAAACCTGGTTAACCATTTATCTCATTTATAGGAACTTGACGCCTCCATAGATTTGGCCACGCAGGCGATTGCCCAGAAGCCGCACAGCTACGAGGGATACTACGCCCGGGCAAAGGCGCGCATGGAACTGGGTGCCCTGAACGAGGCGCTGGTGGACGCCAATGAGGCGATGCAGCAGGCCGCTCAGAGCGGAGTCCTCTGCGAGGTAGTCGAGGTGCTGAAGCGCATCCAAACCGAGCTGCTCACCCGGATCTCCATCAGCAGCGAGGATCAGTCCGGCCGGATGTCGAGTATCGGCAGCGGGGCATCCGCCGTTTATGAATCTCATCACGAGATCACCGATTTGTAAATGTCGATTGTTGTGTATTGTTGTACTCCTCGTATACCCCCTTCGAATTAATCCCTATTCTAGTTTAAGTGCTACTCTACCCTTACTTTTTGCTATTTATTGCCTTCGAATGTTCTTAATTTAAACAAACTGCAACTATTTTTGTAATTTCCTTTAAAATTGTCTTTTTAATTGTGTCTACGCATGTAAAAATTAGTTTTATACGCTGATTTACCATTAGCATCAGTTCTTATTCATAACAAACATTAAGTAAATGCGAATTTTTTTAAGATTGAATAAAAAACTTTTAAAGAAAACTGGTGCAGCCTTTTGGGGATATGCATAGACATTTTGGGCACTGCTTTTGAAATCTGTCTTTAAAATGACGTGTGCAAGCTTTGAGCTGGTTTTTAATAAATTATTATTATAGTTATAAAAATATACACAAAATATGCCAAAATAGACACATCTAATTTCATCGAACTGATTATAATAATATTTTTCCATTTCAGAACACATATTTAAAATTTAGTATTAACAAAATGTAAAACAATTATAGAAACCTTATTTAGATGTATTTACATTTTAAACTTAACCTATTCGAGGGCAGAGTTTAACTTAGGAATGGAACAGTTGGAAATGAAATGTGTCTCGAGTTAAATACTAGAGGAAGTTTAGAGAGCTTCATATACTTTAAAGTATTATAGCATTTCAATAAACGATTTTCGGGCTGCATTTGCCATAAATAAGATTTTGTGCCGCAACGTATACTTAAGTACTTTTAAAATCAACAATATCCTGATGTGCTCCAATAAGAGCCTTCTGTTATCTAAGTGGATTTTCCATTAAGTTTACTCAGTTCAGTGGGTTCTCCCGAATCGCGATGTCCTAGACGCGAATCGACAAGCGGTGCCGAGATCTGCAAATGCAGAACATAGTCGGGAGCTGGAAAAACAAAGTTTCAGTTACACAAAGATCTCAGTTTCGGGACTAAATAGAGATGGAGGGTGCGAGATGTGGCATTGTAGCTTTGAGATTACTCAAACAGAAGAACAAGCTGTGAATAAAAGCGAAGGAAATTTAAGGCAAAAGCATTTGGTGCAATGAGTAAGCTGATTAGCGTGAATGAAGGAACTATTAAAACCAGACTCACTTTGGTCCAACAGGTATTCCAAATCATCGGGGCAGTCTATCGTGGGGAAATCAATATTGGTTGACTCCTTGAGGATAACACCAATGTCCTTATCGGCACTCATTAGGAATAAAGGCACATTCGCCTTGGCGAGCTCTTTTTGCAGCGATCCCATTCCTCGAGCGGCCGTGAAATCGAAATCTTTAAGATAATATATATTTAGTTTATTCAATAAGAAAATTTTTTTTTTATAAAACTTACCATGGACATGAGCGCAATCCAGGACCACAGGAGCGGTTCCGTGCGTGGTCAGGGCCTTAGAGATTCCCGAGCGAACCCATTCGATGGCCGGGAAGTACAGTGAACTATGCTTGGGACGGATCAAAATGTAGTTGATACCATTGGTAGTCTGCAGTTTGGAGACACTCAGAACGGGTCGAGCGGCTCGGTAAACCAAGAAGGCCACATCGGAACTCACGCCCAGGAGAAGACCGATTTCGACACCCACCGCCAGGCTCATCACAAAAGTAATGGCACCTGGGAGCAGTTCTCGTCGACTGCACCGCCACAGCGGTTTGATCACCTCGAATTCTATCATGAATATCACCGCCGAAATGATCACCGCACTGAGAGCAGCCTTTGGGATGTACTGGAAGTAAGGAGCCAGCAGACCCAGGGCCAGGAGAACCAGTATGCTCGTGTAGCATCCTCCAAGGGGAGTCCTAACTCCACTCGCGTGGTTGACAGCACTCCGAGAGAAGGATCCTGTCACCGGCATGGAGCTGCAGAAGGCGCCACAGATATTACTTATGGATAGGGCAACCAGTTCCCGCGTGGGACTCAGTCCAGCTCCTCCGAATGCCTTTGAAATAGCAACATTGCCGAGCACAGCAATAATGGGCAGTATTATCATGGATGGACCCAACTCCGAGAGCTGAAAAAGAACAAAAATATACATTTAATCAGGGATTTTTGGCAAGAGTAATATAATATTGAAAGAATAATATAATATAATATCATAGAATATTTTAACAAATCTTTCATAAAACATATGAAGTTTACAATTTTTAGGATTGTCAATACTGCACGCATTATATAATAATTGAATCTAATGGTAACGAGTAAAATTAATCTAACAAGAAAAAGAAAACAAAATGAAATGATACTAAACCAGAAGAGCTGAAGGCCTATAGCTGCTATAGCTCATGACCATATAATTAAATAAACAAATAATCTAATAAGACCTGTGCACAGCACCAGACAGAACATCCAGTTTAAAAATAAACCAAGTTTGAATTGTTTTAATTTATTTATATAATCTGAGTGGCGAAAATAAAACAATTCTTCGAGACAATTAAAAACAAGTATTGCTACAAGTCTTTTGAGCTGAAGACTTCAACACACCAACAACAAACCAGATAGACTGGGGTACTAAGTTAAACAAATGTGATGAACCTTGATATTTCATTTACTAGGTCAGGTCAACTTGTTTTCACTTACCATCTGTTCAAAGTTCTGTGTGATCTCAGTGCCATTTCTGTCCAGAATTGTGGTCTCGAACTTGGGCAGCGACACGTTGGGCAGACCACTCTTGACCTTTCCGGTGAGGATGTACGGACAGCTGTCCATTTGCTCGCAGGTGCTGTAGGCCAGCGCACTGGTTACCAGGACTACCAGAGCATTACGTCCGGTGGCTATGACCCAGATGCTACCGCTGATTAGCTGCTGCGTCCGCAAGTTCCTGATTCGCCCGTCCAGCTTCACGTCTTTCAGTTTCTATCGGGATTAAGACTTGTTAATGAGGATTTCAGAACCAATTAGAGTATATCTACCCTTAGCAGCAGCAGAACAATGATGGAAACCAGTCCCAGGGTAAAATCGCCCTGTCGCACATTGTGAAGATTTCCGAATACCGATCGCATGGTGTTAATAAAATCAGAGCCGGATCCACCACTCAGACCCAGCAAACCCTTTAGCTGCGATGTACCAATGATGACGGCGGTGGCCGAGGTGAATCCCACGGTAACGGGCAGTGATATCAGATCCACCAGGGCGCCCAGCTTCAGCACTGCCATTCCCAGCTCAACGATACCGGAGATGAGGCACAAAAGTATCGCGTAAGCTGGTCCAGAACCCAATCCGAATCCCGTGTGCCGGCTGGTCATCAGGGCGAGCAGAGCCGTGGGTCCAATGGTCACTTGGCGGCAACTGCCCAGCATGGCGTATATGATGCCGCCCACAAAGGCCGAGTACAGGCCATACTGTGGCTGTAGTCCTGCTAAAGTGGCATAGGCCAATCCTTGGGGCAGCACAGTGAGTCCAACTGTCACTCCGGCTATCAGATCCGCCACTGCATCCTGGCCGGTGTAGCCGTGCAGCCACTTCAGACCCGGCAGCAGGCGATATCCCCAGTCCCTGAGGGTCATAGTGGATCTAGCTGTGGATTATAGACAATCAAAGAATTACTAACATTGTGACGATGTTTAATATATATTCTTTTTTTGATTGTAATGAAGATTTATGGAGAATTACGTCGCAATAAATTGAGGATCGCCAGTTCAACGACTTGTCCAATTTTGCATAATTATACATTTGATTATAAGACGTCTGCGTGACAGACAAGCCCAAAGAAAAAGAGACGTCAACTTATGTTATTACCAAAAAGCAAGTCATAAATAAGCCTCGTAGAACCCAAAAGAATGCAAAAATACGAGTTTATGGTAAATAAAAAAGAATATCTGCCAAGCCTTAATGGTTACAAAAGGCTCACCGAATAAACTAGATTGTGTAAATTAAACAAACCAGTTGGTAAGGTTTGGTTAAAATTGGATAGGATCAAAAAAATGTATCATTTATTATTAATAAATTTTTAATTCTTCAAAATGTGATATACTACAAAACTTTGTTCTTCACAGGACTTTTTTAAAATAAAAATCGCATTGAAACTGACAATTTTTGATTCATAAAGGACTATTTATATACTGCACATTTTTACAATACTAGTATATATATATTCTAATATATATTTGATTAGCTGTTCTCAGAGTGGAACCCAAAAATGTCTCCTATCTAAGCGCACTCCAAATTATTTTGTTGGAAACTCACGTACATATTTAAACAAATGTTTTGATGTTGTTGTCTGTTCGAAGGGCACGTTCTTTAGAATTACCGGAGAACTGAATTCTTTCAGTCTAAATGATTTTCAGTAAAAGAGCGGGGAGCTCTGGAGAAGCTCAGGTCGGTTCGGGAGCTGGCCAAAGACTGAAGAATGATCGCGTGAACGAAGAATTGCTGATCAGTGATCACACGACCTCCTCAATTAGCTCGGCAAGTGGCGGAGTTGAAAGTATTGGTTCGGGTCGCTTAAAACGTGATCAAATTGAACGATCGATGAAAACAAATACGCGCACGAGATGTGTGCACGTAAATTGAATTTTTCTTTTTTTGCAAACGATTTATTTACAATTTAGAGCCAATAATTATGGGAAATTGTTTGGTGGTTATGTCATTTGTTAACGCTAAATGGAAAATATTTGCTTTGCTTATGGAAGAATAGGGGAGTATTTACCTAAATGTAATTTTAATCGATTCTAGGGCTGAAAAATTGGATAGTATACCATTAGTTCCGCTAAGGCAAGATAATGCGATTGGTAGAATGTAAACAATTTTACAGCGTTAAATTTGAGTTCTCTAAACTTTAATTTTATTTGACATGTTAGAGAACATACAAGGTAAATCAACTATAATTTTTTAAAGTGAAATAATATGCTATATTTATCAGAGCGATAAATTGGTATCATAAAAAAGTAGGATACTAAAAAAACAATCAAGCTTTGTAAATGCGAACAAAGTTTAATAGGAAAACCACAACTAAGAACTAAGGTTTAAGTAGTACTGACAAAAATTAACATTATTTAGTGAAAGAAACAATAAGGTTAATAGTTCCTAATCTCTCTGAGTAACCTTGTAAGTTCATTAGAGTTTAATTTAAAAAATGAGATAAGAAAATCCCTTATCAGTATGGGAACGTTTATTTCAAGTGCTTTCATCCGCAATTTGTAACCGGAATCAATGGAGCATAACACGCAAAAACTGTAAGGCGTGAAAAGTTTATTAACCCTTTGAAGTAACTGGTGAAATCCGTTCTTTCCCGGTCCACGAAACCAATATTATTGGAGAGATCACTGAGATATATACAGACGCAGGTTTATAGGTATAAACATAATTGCCGGTTGTTGACAGACGGCGTGAAGGAATCTGAGCATTATTTATCGCTCTTTGCTTTCTTTTCACTTTGGCATTGCTCAAAAAACTAGTTTTCTTAAGGCTGATGTTTGAGTAAAAGTAAACAAAATAAGGGGGAATAATACGAAAACAGCGAAGCCAATTGTTTAGTTTTGCTTGTTTATTTATAACGCGAGCTAAATTCCCAAAGAATTTGCAACAACAAATGGGTTAGTGGCACAAACACAGAAAACCGAACAACCAAACCCAGCAACCCTTGTTACTTGTTTATTGTGAACTCTCTACTTATTTAATAGCTAATATCACTTAATACTTAAGTTAAAAAACGCAATGCAACCACTTTTACCGGTGAAATTGGAATAAATAAATTTGTTTGCTTTCCACTGAACAGCTGGTCCACAGGGTGACTTGGGCGGTGCTGCAAATCTGGTACACAGGGTGATTCCGCTTCTAGTCTAGGCACGCTAGCGCCCTCTAGGCGGCTATGGAAGTGAACTAAAATAGAACTACCTTACAACACTGAAATAAGTAATCGATTATTTTTTATATTTGCGAATAAGTTATTTTAACTAATATTATTGGTTACAAACAGTCAACTTTATGTACTTTAAAAATGTAATATTTTTCTATACATATACACATATACATATGGAGATAACTCAAAATTCAAAACTAGGGCTCCAAAATAGTGGCAAAACTATCGATATTCTTTTAACCTGACGTTTACCAGCACTGGAGTTGAGAGGCCAGTGCTTACCCACACTGCCTGAATCACGAACAATTTTTTATTATGGCACTTGCGCGGCTCGCAAACAGAATTTGCTGATTGAAATCCATAGAAAGTCATTGCCGAACGTCGAGGACGCTGCAAGTTGAAGTTTCTGCGAGAAAGGATCGCCGCGCAGGAAACGAAAGTGCCGGGAAACAGCTATTTTATCCATCGCCGCTGCCTCCCCCTCGCCCCCCGCGAAACGAGCAGACGCCGACCGAAACATTTAGATTGTGCAAATAGCTAAAATCCACACAGTCCGCCATCGAATATTATGAAATGGGTAAGCTGCGAGGGAAAACGCTTGGGTGTACGGGTTTTCACACCGTTGCGCCGATTTCCAGGGCCTTGGGTTTCCACGGCAAGAAAAACTGCAAATGCAAATGCATCTTCAATGCCGCTGCATGCGTGTGTGAGTGTCTGCCGTATGTGTGCGGTTTTCATAGGGCGTTCTAACTGTTTTTTCTAGGGTGCTTCAGTTTCCGCAAAAAAAAACGGTATTTGTGCCATTTTCACGGTCACCGTTTGGGAAAATCCTCCATTGTAAACCCAGTTTCGAAATGGGTGGAAATTTCCACCTACAAACTGTCAGTGTATCTCGAGTTGGTGGAAAAATAATGACAAGCCATGGGTTGCTGTGGCATGAATGATAAAACTGGGCCCATATTGAAACCCAAATGTATAGATTTCTTAGTTTTTATGGAGGACTTCTGTGCTAGATGAACGGCAGTTTCTACAATAGAAAATATTGATATATTACCGTCTGTCTGTCTGTTTGTACAACCATTTAGATTTTGGGAACTAACAGAGCTAGGGCTTCGAGATTTGGGATATAGAATCATGGGGTCTCGACTTTCTCGCATACCAAAACTTAGGGTTATAGGGGAAGTGTAACGCTCACAAATCATATGTTTTATGACAGCCTTTATAATATTCCGAAGGCTTCAACATTCCTCTGAGTTCGTTTTCCCAATATATTGACTTCAAAAGAGTTAATAAAATCATTTGAATTAAACATTGCCTTAATGCTGTCTATTTTCAGCATCAGCTTTAAGTGTCTTGTCTTATTAAATCTGATAAGTGTGTTAATGAATGCGATACGATTTAGGTAAAATAAAGTATTGTAAAGGCAGATTCACTTGTACATATTCCGATTCCCCTGCATTTGATCAAGAGCCTTGATCGCCAGAATAAAAACGTAAAACGTAATACCATTTACCCAAGTGGAACTTGTTGCTTGAGGCTTGGTTGTAGGTCAGTGCGAAGAGGTGGCTGATCCGGCGGCAAAGAGTGCGCACCAGGCGACGACCGGCGACGATGTAAGTAGCGCCCATCGTAATCCCCATCACTCCAGTAACCACCTCCAAGCAAATTTCCAAAAATCGTTTCTTTCACGTGCCTTTGTTTCGTTATTTTATGATTTTCCGTTGTTCTTTCGTATCAGCAGCAAAATTGTAGCACTTCTAACAGCGAAATTGGCCAAACTTCAATTACAAACTCTTGTTCAGTTGCGCTAACGTGTTTAACCAATTGGACCAGCTATTATTCTTATGTTGCTAACCCTCACCCCCTCACAAATACACGAAAACACAAGACACTTTGTACGACTATTCGTTATTTATTTACTACATTTAGGAAATTAAACAAAATTTTTATGGGGAGAATTCCAAGGAGTTTTCATATATTGGTAAACTATTCTGTATGTTTAAGTTTCAATATTATAGATTTCAATTCGATAAGAAAAACACTATAAATACTCCAACAAAACACAGTTTTTAATATTTTTATAAATTTCCTTTATAATAGATATAATTTTTTATAATTTAAGTACTGATTCGTTTTTTTTTATTGTAATACAGTCTTCTGTAATATAAAATACATACTTTGGTACTTATTTTCTGACCAATAATAAAGTATTTTAAACCTTAGATGGGGATCCAAAACACACAATCCCACACATAAAGAACAAACTGTATCCCCTAAAAATATTATCATTACAAAGTCGATTGACCCAAACTGATACCTTTCGCAGACAATGCCCTCGGCCATCAGTGGCGCGGCACATGGCCAAGTCCACATACCCAGCAACGAGGAGTGCGGCATCCGGGACGTGTGGAAGCATAACCTGGAGGAGGAGTTCCGCACAATCCGCAAGGTGGTGCAGAAGTACCACTATGTGGCCATGGACACCGAGTTCCCGGGCGTGGTAGCTCGGCCTGTCGGCGAATTCCGCTCCACGGCGGACTACCACTACCAGCTGCTGCGCTGCAATGTCGACCTGCTGCGGATCATCCAATTGGGCCTGACCTTCATGGACGACGATGGCAAAACGCCGCCCGGCTACTCCACCTGGCAGTTCAACTTTAAGTTCAACCTGAGGTAATATTGGTCAGCTCAAACTATTTTAGGGGGTCTTACATGCATCATCTTTTGTTTCCCTAGCGAGGATATGTATGCGCAGGACTCGATCGATCTGCTGCAGAACTCTGGCATTCAGTTCAAGAAGCACGAGGAGGACGGCATCGATCCCATTGAGTTCGCCGAGCTGCTAATGAGCTCCGGCATCGTTCTGGTGGACAACATTAAGTGGCTGTGCTTCCACTCCGGCTACGACTTCGGCTACCTTCTTAAGCTGCTCACCGATCAGAACCTGCCCTCGGACGAGGGAGACTTCTTCGAGCTGCTGCACATATACTTCCCCAATATCTTCGACATCAAATATCTGATGAAGTCGTGCAAAAACCTGAAGGGCGGTCTGCAGGAGGTGGCCGATCAGCTTGAACTGCGGCGCGTGGGCCCCCAGCATCAGGCCGGTTCCGATGCCCTGCTCACGGGCATGGCTTTCTTCAAAATGCGTGAGGTACAGCACACAAATGATTTGCACTTTGACCTACCAGCGCCCGTTGTACTCTTTCCCTATCTGCTTGAGCACACCATGAACTTGAAGCCGTTGGTCAGCCGGATCGACCTGCTGAGCCGTCCGGCCTACATCGGAGGAATTCCTCCCGATGAGTCTGCGATGATCAGCAGTGGCAACGGCACGGGCAACACCAGCTCCTCTTGGGAGCCGCTTACCTCGAGCGCCTACATGGTCACGCCTCCAAACACTCCTGGTTCGCCGGAGCGCGATGGCTCGTCGCTACGCGCTTGCTTCGCGTCTTCTCCAATTCGCTAAACAAGACATACGGTTGTTGCCCAGCCCTTGCCACTACTAACTTGCCTCCATCCACCATCACCATCAACATCCATTAGGTTTAAGGTTCTTCATGGTTGTCACAACTCGCTCATTTTCATATATAGTTTATATATGTATTTAGTTTTTATTGCCTGCAGCACCTGCAGTGCCAGTGACCCACTATTTATGAATGAAATCCATAATTTGAAGTGTTTTTAGTTAGATTGAAACTGTTAAGACCATGTGAAACATGTTTATTTAGTTTTAAAGCTCGCGAGACGATATGAATTGAAAGATTTGCTGAATTTGATTGGAAAATTAAATGAATTGGAATTAATTTTCTTTTTAAATTTTTATTTATATTTGGTGTCTGGGCATTGCTTACCGTTTTATTTCCATGGAGGATTCGTCTGATTTCTCTAACTAATATTAACTGTACTTGGTAGACTTGCGTTTTTGATATGTACTTTATTTTAGTTTTAAGTTTTGACTTAATTTTTAATTTGTAAACAATTCAATAATATTTTGTCTTTTATAATTTCAAGCGCTATGCTGACATATGTTTTCACACAGTGCACTGTGTGTATCAGCGTAGCAAGACCTTTCCCTTCTAGAGAACTGCAAAATAGTTCTGAAAAAACAAGAATATTGCAGAATAAACCCCACCCCAAATACTAACGATCAATAATAAGAAAATCACTAGTATATAATCTCATCTAACCACATTGATATACGGTATGTAACTAAACCCATTTATAAGTAGGTCTCTCCAATCTGATTGGGGCTACTAGTAAGATTTGCTGCGGTAGATATGCATGTGCTTTTAACGCTTTTAGAAACTAACATTGCTCAACGAGCATTCATACCTTTCGATTTTTCAGCAACTGCTTTGTGAACCGTTTGTCCTGTCCCATTCCGAACACATATGTTATATGCCCGCCTAATGGAACTTGCACCCTTTTCAGATGTTCTTCGAGGACAACATTGACCACGCCAAGTACTCCGGACACCTGTACGGCCTCGGCACCTCTTTCATCGTAAATGGCACAAACTTCCACGAGAGCAACGGCGAGACGAACAGCGCCTCATGATTCGTGCTGATGGGGAACGTGGTGGTGCACGACAGGAAGTTCGAGCAGGAGGGATCACCGGCTCCGCCGCCACCTGTGCAGGCCACATCACCTGGCCAACCACTTCTCGCAGCAACCACACCTTTGCTGTAGTCACAAAACGTTCCCGTTTATAAACACTTACCCCGTTAGCCATATTGCTACTCTCTTGATGTTCCCACGCAAGTTCAGATTGAAAACCACATCCCTAAAATACAAAAATGGCATACAAATAATTGTAAATCGCAAAAGAAATGAGAAACCTGCAAAACTAAAATAGATTCAATTTCAAATTCTGCATGTCTTAAATGTGTTACGAATACAAAACTAAGGTAACTAAGCTAATATTGTAAGCCAAAGGGCAAACATAGAATATTGTGTATTTGTAAAAAAAAAAACAAGAACAATATATTTAAAACTTTTTAATTTAGTGTAAATGACCCTTGTTCTTTTAATGGTAAAGGGGTAAATAAATATATGGTTTGCAGAAACAATTATATAACTCGATTAATCGGAACTCATTATTATCAACAATTAAAATGGGTAAGTATAGTAACAATATGAAAATTCCTTTTTTGTTTTAATATACTCTGTAAAAGAGAAAAAATAAGCATAGCTCAGAAACTACTTTACCAATCATGCCGATATAGAAAACCTACAATATTAAGACCGAATCTTTAAGCTTCGTTTATTTTGTGATTTTCGAGGGCTCAGAAAGTCATGGTCGAGTTGAATAACTTTTATATAGTTAGAAATAAAGGAATCCCCTAAACATTTTTAAATATAACGGTAATCAATATAACTACCAATACATGGTATTTTCAGACACTGCGGTCACACCGAGCCATAGTCCTTAGTTTTTGTTTGGTTTAGTTTATGGGAAATATCTTTTGATTTTGGAGTCTCAAAGGTAATTCGATGGCAACCGTGGCTGAGTGCAACCACAGCGTCTTCGACGTGGTGACCCACCTGGCCACCTTGTTGGCCTCGGAGGAGCAGGCTACCAAAATGCCCACAGCTGCATTGGTGGCCAGGAGGCGCTCCAAGATCTATGAGGCGTTGCTTCGCAGAGGAACGATGTCTACCCAGGCCAAACTGGAGCTGATCGAACAGGTTAGCAGCGAGATGACGAAAGACCCGAAGCAGCGGGACAGGCTGCACACCTTCCAGAGTCAGCTCGCAGAACAGGAACATGATTCAAAAGAGCCTAAGACAACGGAGGAGCTGGAAAACCAGCACAAGTTTGGAATCCGACGATTAAAACCCGGAGTACTGCAGCTACGTGAATCCCTGGACCCTACGCCGGAGCCAGATCAACCAAAGTGTCTGAAATCACTAGATCAGATGCATCGTGCTCTAAAGCCCCTGCAGTTGCAGCCCCACAGTAATATTCTCATGGTCAACCTAAAGGCGACGCCTCCCACGCCAAAGCCACGCTCCAGGATCATCCCATCCTATGTAGGCTCCATCGGCATGTCGGAGTCAATGACTCGAATGCGGGAAGACAGCGAGCCACCAATGCACCCAACTCCCCGCCTGCCAGTCCTCAAAAAGAAGATCACAGCTGCCCAGGCGAAAGAGCCTTTTGTGGCCAAGTCTGGAGCTGAGAAGCATTTCATATCAGACCACATGATGACCAACGAGCTGAAGCTCCTCCAGAACAAAGACCTAGTGCTTAACTACTTAGAGGAGGCGACCCTAATTGATCACCTAAAGAAGGCAGCAGCAGGTCTTCAGTCGGAGACGTTCCTCAGTTCGCCAAAAGATAACCTGGAGTTGCTATTCAGGCCCAACACTACAGTGCCTACTGTGCTGCCCGAGGTAATGGCGGATTTTGCGGGTCACTTCCTGCACGCCGGCTGTGCCTTTCGGCGATTGAGTGCGCGCACCAAGTGGAACAAGAACACTATGATGCGGGTAGAGAGGCCTCTAAACAGGGTAGGTCTTTAAACCAAATCTGCAGAATGTTTGGTTAATCTTAGCTATTTCACAGGCCTTTCGGGAGATCCTGGTGGATTTCCTAGCCACCAATCGGCAGTTTCTGCTCGCCTTGCCCGCCAATAGTCTCTCCCAACTCCTGAACAACTCCCGTCCAGCCATTCAACTGATCTACCAGCTGGATAAGATGTTCGAGAACGAGCCGAGATGTAAGATTTAACTTTGTGTCGGAATTCAGAAATTGACTTTCTCTTATTAAAATTGAATTGCATAGTAAATCTGGACACCGGGGTATCCGGATCCTTCCTGATGAGCTGCATTTGGCTAGCCGTCGACACCTGCGGCAACAGTGACTTCTTGCAGCTGCTCATCTATATGCTGCGCTGCATATCCCAAACCTATTTTGTGCAGCTGCAGAGATGGATCTACCAGGGTGAACTGGACAAGACGGTCAACGAGATTTTCATCAGTCGATACTTGAACAGTTCACCGTCGCTGGTGAATGAGTGCAGCAAGGAGTTCTTTGATAGGGGCTACCAAGTGGTCAACGATGCGATTCCAGACTTTTTATCCGGCTGCGAGCATGAAATCCTCCACTGCGGAAAGTACAACCAGGTGTTAAAGGCTTATAACGCTCAGGTTTGTAGATTGTAACACCGATTGAAATCATATATTTATCATATCTCAACCCTAGCACCCCGTCTTCGATGTGGAGTACCCGGATATGGTAGTCTGTCTAACCGAGCAGCAGCTCAAGGATATGCGTCGCAGCTTGGCCGAGAAGTATGCCATCATCTACCAACGCTTTGGATGGTGCAGCATGCAAAGCCTCTTCGAGGAGCGCATGGCCACCAAACGTGTTTTTGCGAACCTCATGGTGGAACGAACGAAGGCCTATCTGGATAACTGGGAGGAGGAGCAACGCGTTCTTCAGCTTAAGGCGAATGCTCAGAAGAAGCTGATGTACGATGAATTCAACGCAGAGTTCGAACTTAACCAGCAAAATCGCCTGGAGAAGCGAAAACAGGAGATTGTCAATGAGCTCGGATTTCTCCGGGAAAGCGAACGACTGGAGGATATGCGCCTAGAGCGGGAAAAGATAGTTTTGCAGAGGGAAGTGGCGCAGCTTGCTGCCGAATTAACAAAGAAAGACACCCAGGAAGCGATTAGTCCTGACCAGAGCACAGTTAGCGATCTAAGTTTTACATCCTGCCTCGAAGGACCAGATTGTCGAACAGATTCGGCGTCTGACAAAGATGAGGAAAAAACAGAGGAGGCAGCAGGACTGTCGGAGAAGCTACCGGATGTTATAATGAAGCAGTCAGCAGAGAAACCATCAGAAGAGGTGGCATCGAAATCGGATCAAGCCGAAGTCAAGGAGTTGCAACCTTTACTACCCAACGAGCTTCAGTTTAAACGAAGCCACTCGGATGTGATGAATTCCAATGAGCAGCCAACCTGTCAAACAGAACTCGATCGCAATCGCCAGCATGGTCTCTCCTCTGAACAGTTTCAGGAGTGCCAGACAGAGTTGAACTCGGAAAAAATTACCACCAACTTGAGTTCGGGATTGCATGCTCGACTTCCTCCCGACATTAATGCTAATCTAAATCGCCTAGGTACAGAGGAACTGAGCGAAATGCAGCGCAACCGCCAACGCAATGAACACCACGATGGTTTTTCCAGCTTCAATTCCACCGAGGATCAGCACACGCAGCGATTGCGTTGCCAAATTAATTCAAATACGGATCGTGGCCGAAACCGGCGGAGGGTTATGGACAGCGAGTTTGGTATTGGCCTAGCAGATAACGTCTTAGAAAAGAAGACTTTGCCTTGCCTGCCTCTAGAACTTAACAAGCTCCACGTCGAAGTACCCACGGCGGTGCTAACGCCCATGTCCACCACTTCCGACATGGACATCGGTGGTCTGTCACCCAGAGAATTACCTGAAAAAGCAGAACTACTCAAATTGAATATTACACCTATAGTTGACAACGATGCTGCTAATAATAACAATATCACTGAGTGCAGAGAAATTGTGTGTCCAGAGTCACCAAAGTCCGATCTTGTAGTAGCTAAACCAAATAGTGTATTTTCGGAAGTTTTCATCCCGACTTTCGGCCTGCCCACGCACTTTAGGATGGGAAAGGAGCTGGAGCAGGAAGTTCAAAGCCAAAAAGCAGTTTCCACTGTACCCGAGTCCTGCAATCCTTTCATGGCCCGCCGTTGCTTGCAGCTCTCCGTGATGGCTCCTGTAAACGCGCACTACGCCCTGCTTCGAAATGAGGTACTAAGGATCTTCCAGGAGCTCCGTATCTACGAGCATTTCCGCAAGCTGAGAAACTACTTTTTTCTTTTGGACGGCCAGTTTGGAGCTCTACTCACCAGTGATATCTTGGGAAGAATAAAGGCGGGCATCGAACCACGAAGCCTTTGCCAGAAGGGCATACTTGATACCATGCTAACCAATGCGTTGTCGGCTTGTTCGGCGGATGAGACCACCGTGTCACAGAATCTCACTCTCAACTGCACCAATATACCGGACACGCTGAATTTCCTGTCGGTGGAAGCCACTTCCATGCTAATGCTGCACTGCAAGATAGATTGGCCCCTAAACCTTGTGATCAGCTCGGAAACGGTGGCCAAATACGGTCAGATCTTCGGGTATCTGCTGAAACTACGCCATGTTAGTTTCGTTTTAGAGGGAACCTACGAGTATTTGCAGCAAATGGGAAAACTTCTGGGAACGGAACTCCGGAGGTGTGCACATTTCCGGCACCTGCAGGTAATGCGACACAAGTTGTCGCATTTTATGACCTCGTTCCAGACGCATCTGGTGGCCAAAGCCCTGCAGGCCACCTGGAAGAGTTTTAAGGAGGAGCTGTGCGCCGCCGATTCCATCGAGGGATTGTATAAACAGCATGCAGCCTATTTGAAGCGGGTTGCCTTCCTGGCGCTACTAAATCGGAGGAGTGCCAAGGTCAAAGAAACCATCGAAAATATTCTTGTTATCATACTTCGCTTCTGCAAGTAAGTTATTTTCTTTTCTGCAGTAAACATTCTTTTAATACAACTATTTTATATATATTTTAGAGTCCTTCAGTCACAGGCTTTTATAATGGATCAAGATAATCAGTTTGTGCATCCCCGCTTTAAACGACTGCTGCAGGAGGAGGCTGAGTTTGAGAAGTTTATGCAGTATCTCATCTATTTGGGCAACAAGGCGGCCGCTTCTGGTTACCAGGAAGAAATCGGAGACCTGATTTGTATTATTAATTTTAACAACTACTACAATGTATCTGAGGAGAGTTCTAGGTCTTAAGTAGAATCTCAGAACTGCTTGCAAAGAATCTGTGAAGGATAGTAGCTAGGGAAATTTATCTTGCCATTAAGCTGAGCTTAGTAAGTTTTTTTTATCGATTTTTCTTAAATGTAAAGCATTCTTAAAGCAACCCGAGAATAACAACAGGGATTTCTAAAATATGTTTCTTGAACTATTTTCGTTTTATGTTTTAATCTAAGATATTTAATATACATTTCGAACAATCTATTTCAGAATTTATTCAAAACATTACTAAAAGTAATTTTCAAAAATGTGTGTTGAGTTCAACTGAAATCAAAATGTTAATCAACAAATTAACTATTAAAAGAAAAAGTTTTTGTGTTTGCTGTTCTAAAAACTAATGGTCTATTTCTCGTCCGCATGTTAAAATATAAGTAGACTTTAAACATTTTTGGAGTTTACGTTTTCGAAATATGTCTATCATTTATTTTCGTATCCATGCTTTAAAATTTCATCAATGTTTTTTAGGGAAACAAATGACCAACTGCTTTTAATGTAAGGCTAAATAAGGATGAGCTTGCTTACCGCACTGGCTTTTTTAAAGTAATATTTTAAATGTTTTAAAAAGAACGTATAACGAACTAACGGACAAAAGAAGGTTTTTTCAGCGATGTTGCATATATATCCATATCTTAGACCAATTTGTTTTAATAGTTAAAAATATAATAATATCGGTATCAAAATAAAAATAGTAAAATGGCAAAAAAATGACATTATAAATATCGTGTTTTATATACCCTTATAGAGCATTTTATTTTCGAGAAACGTACACATTATCATATTTTTTTTACTTACTTTTCTTATGTTTATTTTTTTTAGAATTAAATTTCTTAAAAATGTAACAAAATTAAAAAAAGTTTTGAATTACTTACATACAAAACATCGCTCACGCTGTCATCTCTAAACGGCTGATAGCATGCGATGAATAGGAATTCACTCCATCCCTGGTCATGAGTCATTTAGAATAATTCAGTTTTATTTTTAGTTAACAAAAACGGTGCATGCTTTCGGAATTTAAATATACATATTTAAGTATTTATTATCAAAGAATAATCAATAAAAATGCAGGTAAGAAGAAATTCTATGGTTAAATAAGGTTGCATTTATTTTCCAAGCAACAATGGGTTGTATTTGGGGAAACGCGACTGTGGGTGTGTTTTTGGTGCATCCAAAAATAAACTCCATATTTGGTAATGAAAATGATGAATGAAAACGAAAACTCACGTGGCTTTGTTTTCCCTAGGACCCCAACGAAGACACCGAGTGGAATGATGTGCTCCGCGCCAAGGGAATCATTGGACCCAAGGCGAAGGAGGCGGAGATCACGGAGGATCAGATCCAGAAGCTGATGGATGATGCCATCCAGAAGCGGACAGATCTTCCTCTCAACGAGGGCCAGCGGGACAAAAAGATCGACGACATGTCGCTGGACGAACTCGACGAACTGGAGGACTCCGAGGATGAGGCTGTCCTAGAGCAATACCGCCTCAAGCGCATTGTCGAGATGAGGGCCACCGCTGAAAAGGCGCAATTTGGTTCCGTGCGCGAAATCTCTGGCCAGGATTATGTCAACGAGGTCACCAAGGCCGGCGAAGGCATCTGGGTGGTCCTCCACCTGTACGCCAACGGTGTCCCGCTCTGTGCCCTGATCCACCATCACATGCAGCAGCTGGCCGTCCGCTTCCCGCAGACCAAGTTCCTGCGCTCCGTCGCCACCACCTGCATACCGAACTTCCCCGAGAAGAACCTGCCCACCATCTTCATCTACCACGAGGGAGCGCTGCGCAAGCAGTATATCGGTCCACTGGAGCTGCGCGGCGACAAGCTGACCGTCGAGGAGCTGGAGTTCATGCTGGGTCAGGCCGGTGCTGTGCCCACCGAGATCTCGGAGGATCCGCGACCACAGATCAGGGACAAGATGCTGGCCGATCTGGAGGACAAGAGTGCGGACTTCTACTGAGTCGTAGACAAATCATAAACCTCATCCAACTTCCTGAAATTTGGGATGGGCCAATATCAAAAGAATGAATCATGGGGCACAATACAAGCTTAAACAGGTCTTTGGATCTGTGTAAACTAAAAGATTATTTACAAATTGCAAATTATCAAAATTAAACTTATTTAGTAAACCTAATGTAAACCCCGACAATATTATTATAAATTCGCTTTTAAAAGCGATATTTATTGATTCGTAGGTAACTTTAATTTGCCGTCATGATTTGTAATTTTTCTTCATCCGCACATATTGACCCAGTCTATCCTCAGGGACTTCCTTGCACGTATCCATCTCATTGTTTTGTGGCATTTACGTACCTTCACAAATAAACTGTTTACTTTTCTACCGAAAGTCACTTATTATGGTTCTGTTTGGTGCTGCTGGCCGACGCTTTTGCCACGCTTTTCGGCTTGCCCCTGAATATGTTGGGATCGATGATGTTGTACGGATGTTCGCAGGCCGGATTTAGTACCCGACCACGTCTTTGTTCGTGCTCCTCTAACAGATGCGGTGCCAGGAGAAGGAACAGCTGCTCCGTCCACGAGGGCAGGCCGCAGGTGGAGAAGCACAGCTCCCAGTAGGGCAGCCCCAAGTGGGCAATGGCCATGCGGAGGTACTCACTGAAAGTGTCCGCCAGAAATTGCCAGCTCAGGGTGCTCAGTTCCAGCAGATAGAACTTGGGATTGTTTGAACTTGTGGATTCGTACAGCATGCACACCTGTTGGAAGAATATTAGGCAATTTATCAAGTGAGAGATTCCAAGAATTTACACACTAAAATTGTATTGTTTTTTATGTTCAACCCACCTTGGCCACCTCGTTGACATTGTTGATTTCGAATATCTTTGACTTGGCCGTTATAATGGGCGTGGCATTGCCCCATTTGTCCTTCCCGTTGGCCATCGGAGCTGGAAGGGATTGCGAGCTGCTGGATGCTCCCAGGCCATCCGAGTTGGGCAAAGCACTTGAATTGCTGGAGTGACTCGCAGTTGTTTCAATATTCTCCCGGAGTAGAGTCACCTGCAGCAGGTGTGGAAAGTGGATGTGACCCACTCGCCGAACATCGTTAGCTGGAATGAAAGTATAAATCCAAATAGCATGGTAATAAGGACACTCCACTCACGTGCGTACTGGTAACTCCAGTTCAGAATAAATCCATCCGAGGATAGGTAGAACTTCTTCATATCTTCAGGGAGGTAGACGCAGTGCCTCTGCTCCCAATTGACCACCTGGCAGGCATTCAGTGGCTGTCGGCGCTCCAGAGTCACATTACATACCCTTGGAACACTGGCTGCAAGTTTAGAAGCTTCTATTTTTACAGGACACTGCAATTCGGATAACCATATACTTACAGAGGGTCCTTATAAGTCCCAATGTCAAATTTTCATAAAATGCATCCTCCGGCGATAGTTTCTTGTTCATTATCAAATAATTTAAGTCTCAGAAAAAATTCTGATAAATTTACACGTCTGACTTTTTTCTATAAATATATGAATGTATAACCAAAGATATGTTGGATTGGTTGTTGTGGCAACGGTGCGTATGGTTGTTAGGATTTCAATGCCTAGAAGCTCCTTAAATTCATTCCGTTTTAAAGATCAATTTTTGATTATTAAGTATTGTATATTTACTTATAAATTTCAAATTCTTTACAAAGAGTTAATAATTCAAACAATTTCATTTCACGACAACAATGAAAATAATTTATTTACAGTATTTATATTTGCGTTTAACCAAAAACTATAAACTGTGGAGCTTAAACGACAATAACACATGAAATAATATAAGTTAAAGATGTTGGAAAGGAGACGAGTGTGGGTTCATCTTTTGTTCTGTTCCTGGGCCTCACTCTCGGCCTCCTCCTCGTGTCAGGAAACCTCCCACACCGTGGACTCCACCGATCTTCGCGGTCGGGCGGCCACTTCCACATGGGCATCCAGTCCATCGCTCATTCGGCTGAAGCGGCGAGCCCAGCTTCCTCGGGCAGTCCCCTGACTTCCGGCGATCGATGTGCGATTGCTGGTGTCCCGGAACAGGCTCATAATGTCCTGGCTGTCGCCCTGGGCCCGCTTTATTCCGTGATTGTACTTGGCCTCCTTGGCCAGCAGCTGCTCCCGCTGCATCTGGGTCTTCACCTCGGACGGCACATCCGGAATGATGAACTGCATGATGCCAGTTATGACAAAGACCACGTGCTGGAATGGGATACGTATAAAATATAGCTTCAGATTCTAGAACTATAAAACATAATCTTTTTTATAAAACATACCTCAAAAACCACTACAAAAGCCAAGCGGGCTGCAAAGACATGCCAGTAATGAGGACTCAGTCCATAAGGTTCATAATCCTTGGGACCATTTCTGCAAAGAATAAGAGTTTAGTTATAAATAGAGGTCTAGGAGACTGGAAAAAAGAGGAACCCACCTATAACCGCGATACTGGCAGGTGTCTGGATCTCGCTCGCTGACCGAGGCACCCCACTCCTCTTTGTAATCCGAGGTATTGAAGATGGACAGGGAGTGCTCGATGTAGCCAGCCAAAGTGTGGGTTTCAGAATAAACAAACTTGTAGACCATTCGTGGTATAAAATCACTAGTGTACGCTATCACAAATGCATTCGAGACGACGGCCGTATAGGTGATTATCCGAAGGATTCCATACCAAGCCCCGATGTCCTCAACACGCTCCGCCAAAGGTCGTCTAGCCTGGGTGACCATTTTGTAGGCATCCAAGCGGATCTCAGCCACATTGTTCAGCAGGGCAAAGAGCGGTGCCAATGGAAATGCAGCCACAAAAAGGGTAACAAAGCCATATTGAAGAACTGATAGGATAATAAATGCTATATAATAATATTCAGACTTTAGATATATCACAAAAGGAATACTTACTCATTTCCAGGTACTCATCGAACAAGGCCAGGCGACCAGGGTCCTGCATGTGATAGTCCTGCTCCCAGGCCATATGTAAATGGGACTCATCCTTGGTGGCCTAAAAAACGGAAAATATCACATTATAAATGGATTTTATTGTCAGGATATTTTCAACCCACCTGCTTGTGCTTCCGCTGACGCCACCAGTTCCAAAATTTAGGGAATAGGTACTCCATAAAATTGTTCCAGCACTGTTTGCCCACCATTATGATGGCCAGTTGGATGCAAAGTTCGGATAAGCAACCCGCCGGATCGCAGATATCATTCTTCAGCCTGAAGAATTCACTTTTTCGGGCTTGATCATCTCCCGGATAATCGAAGAACCGCCCCTTGAAGAAAGCGATGTAGATGAGCGAAGAATAGAAGTTCATGAATTCAAAAAAGAAGATCTTGAACGTATAGGAATCCTCGTATTCCGTGTGGGTGCGCGGATTCTCCAGGTTGGTTAACCTGATGGCCATGCGGTGGTAGATCTGTAGTAGAATAGATATAAGCTTCGGTGT